TCCTCGTGGCTGTTTCCTGCAGCGTGGGCCATGCTGCGGCCGCACAACAGCAACACCCGGCGGTTGGGGCGCGCCGTGTTCCCTACCCTGCCGTCCCATCCCGGCTGCGTTCCCAGCACGGGACCGGCCCAGCTGGGAAGCCGTGCAGCGACTGTCTTACATAAGGCAGCTCTGATGCCAGGGCTTAATTCTCTAAAGCCCCTTGTATTTGGCTGTGTTATGTCAATGTGAGCCTAAGGGATAAGTAGCTGCGCGGGAGGGTGTTAGCAGCCCCAGATATCCTCCCAGGACGCGGATCTGGTTTTCATTCCTTTAAAGTGTCCTTCTGCAGCTGCTGCCTGTGCATATCCCAAGTTCTTGAACCGTTGCCTGAGTTTGTGCCCGTTCATAATGAACCCAGGAAAGGAGAGCAGGTAGAGCTGCCTGCAGGGCAGGGATGTGAGTGGGGAGGAAAGATACCCCTGCACGGCCGGAGCCGCAGGGCTGGGCGAGCGCTGCGGCCAGCCCCTGCCCAGGCCCGGGCTGCAGATAAGGCTGGGGCTGCGTGGAGGGAGATAGGGTCGTGGCTGCTTCTTCCTCGGATATGAGGGAGGTTGGAAGGGGAATAAAATTTCCACCCCTCAATCAAATTCACCGAATCTCTTTGGACTGAGGCTCCTCGCAGCCCCGAGGTGCAGCTGTCGTATGGCTTAGCCTGTGCTTAGGCACTGGCGTAAGGGAGAGCGCCGGGGCTCCGGCCCTGTCGCCGAGGCTTCATTCCCACCTTTTCTTTGGAAGCGATAGACATTTACCTTCCATGCTATGGTTTCCTGCCGCATGCCTTTGAAATCATGGTATTAATAAATAGTGAGCTCTTGGATCAAACCGCATGTCCCCAGAGCAGCTCAGGGATGGTGGCCGTCTTCTGGCACTCGGACTCGCCCAAAAAGACAGCGGATCATCGTCACATTTTGACAGAGCCAGGAGCAACAACGGTGTGGGGTGGTCCTGGTGAAGTGACCTATGTGCGGGTCACCGCTGTTGTAGGAGACTCTTTCTCTGCGTTTTTGTAGCAACAAACTACCAGAAAAACTCCTAGGCGTGCTGCTGAAGTGAGGGAAGGCGACGGAGCGAGACGTGGCCGTGCTCCGCGCGGCTCTGCGGCGGGCGCCGCTGGGCGCCCCGGCCCCTGCTCGGCCTCTGCTCATGCCGCGTGCCAGGGAGCCCCCTCGTTTGGCACTGCACGTTAGCTGCTTTCAGCTGTTTCGCAGTCTTTTTAGGACCTGCTTCAGACTTGTGTGGGAAAGGATTAGAAACAGAAGGTTAATAGAAGGGTCTGGAAGGTGAAACAGTAGAAGTCTTTGAAGACTAGGACCAAAATTCTCTCCTTTGCTCATTCACTACGTAGCTGTCACAGACTTGTTCATTTGGGTCACATTCTTCATCTTCTCCCTTGCTTCTCACCCCAGAGGCTATTTGCTTAATTCCAGCTGCAGCCCTTGGAAGCGCAGTCACAAGCAGCACCCTGTCATGGCATCAAACCCAGGAGTGTTTTTACTCAGAATAGCCGCTGAAGGGCCAGGCTTGCAGCAGGTTCTGCAGATAAAGCTCAGCAAGCCTTATCTGCCTTTGCCCCAAGTACTCCTCCCTGCTTTTGTTCAGTTGCTGTTTTTCCCAAGTCCCATCTGCCTCTATCTGCTGTTGCAGTTTTCACATCTGCCCTGATATGATGCTCAAAGACCTACCTTGTTTTCTCCTGGTAGCTGCAGTTTCACAATTTCAACGTGCTAACAATTTTCCTGAGCAGTTTTTGCTGCGATGCCAGCTCCTGTGTTGCCTCAGAGTGGAACAGCTTCCAGGCTGGGCCTGCTGTTGTGCAATGGCCTGTGTTCACCTTTAGCTCTGAGCAGGACCACAGATAACAAGCACTGTTAATGTGTAACTGGCAGGTTGTAGCAACACATCAAATGCGTGGCGAAGGAGAAACGCTTTGCGTGCTTCTGTTGCCTCGATCTGGATTTCAGTGGGTTATGTATTTACAATTTATGTATTTATGTGTTTATGTGTTTACAATTGCTGAAGACTCTGTTTTAGACAGTATCAATAATGACCTATAAAGTTTCCTCTCCTATTACTACAAGTCAGAAAGTTGATTTATTTATATGTTTGGTATGTCCCATTTTTGACGGTGGGACAAACAGCCAATAAATAGCCTCACCCGCATCATTTGGGTGGAAACAATCAAATTGTTAGAAGGACTTTTATTGTTAGAGGCAGCTGTCTGAAAAAATAAACAGAATTATCTCATAACGAATAAGTTGAGTCTCCTCAGTCTGAAGTCTCCCCCGTTACTGAGCTAAGCGAAGCCAGAAGTGTAATGATTCCTGCAGAAACAAGTAACAGTATAAATCCCCGCTAAATTCTATTAACAGAGCAAGTTGGCCAATGAAAGATGTTTTTATATGACAGCAGGTTAGGAAAAACAGCCAGAGAAGCATCGACGGGTTTATTTGAGCATTTTAGGTCTGAGTTTGTATTTGTTGGTGAGTGAAGAGATCAAAACTCAGCAACTGGTCGGACTCTTTTAGCGATTTGGCTGGGGGGGCACGCTGCTGAGTAGAGATGATCCATGAAAGGTGGTGTTAAAGGTGCTCAGTCGGGGTTTTTCACCTGCCGCTTCCTCCTGTGCTTTCCTTGGCAGCGCCTCACAAGTACTACATCGGTTTCCGCTACGTCCACCCTCTGACGGAAGAAGCGGTCGAAGAGATGGAGCGAGACGGGGTGGAGAGGGCGATCGCCTTCACGCAGTACCCGCAGTACAGCTGCTCCACCACGGGTGAGGGGGCCCGCGAGCCCCGCGCAGCGCCGCGTGCTCCGGCCCGTGCTCCTTTCCTCGTGGCTTCATTGCCCACCCAAAGCTTTCTGTATTCCGTTAAAGTTGTTTGTTTTGCTAAGGATAACTTTATTGTAAGCTAAAGTAAACTGAGGGCCCAGGAGCACAACTGAGTAAGCTTTCTCCATGGAAACTACAGCAATAATGTGCTTTAGTTAAAGTACTTAAGAAGTTGGTCTTGGCTTTAGCATTATTTGGACTTATGAGATAATCGTTCCCCTCTGATGGTCTCATTGCAGTTGTTTTTTAAATATGTAACATTTTAAAATATTAAAATGGTTTCCCTCAAAATTCATTTCACAAGCTATTAATGCTTTGGATTCATTTATGCTCTTAATTCTCTGTATTTCAGGAAGCAGTTTAAATGCAATTTATCGCTACTATCATAAAAAGGGGGAGAAGCCAAAGATGAAGTGGAGTATAATTGACCGCTGGCCCACACATCCCCTTCTTATTCAGGTACGTGTTTGTATGAGAGTCGCTGAAGCTGGTGACCAGAACGAGACAGGTAAATGGAGCTGTTTGGATGTGGGGACCCTGAAATATCCTTTCCAAGTGACCGTTCCAGCTGCAGGCACAGCACGGTGTACCTCAGCCTGCAGGTCGGGGCACCCTTTACACCCTGGCATCCTTTGGATGTGGCGTCGGGGTGACTTTCCCTGGCGTTTCCTTAGCTTCCCTAATGTGGGAGGGACTTGATTTCTTTGCACTGACCTCTGGCTTTAAAACAACAAAGAACTCTCACAAAGTAAATACAGACATCTGAGCGTTCCTTTTAGAAATATTTGCTACCGGGGAAAACACCGAATAATTTTACACAACAAAATTACTCCGACGAATCACTTTTTTAGGTCAAATCTTAGTTTCTAACAAGACCCAAGAGGCTTTCAGCCGTAGAATATCCTAAAAGGAGACGAATCTATTTTGTGATTTAGACTGTGTTTTTGTTTTGTTTTTAATGAGGGGGGTAAGAATAAAAAGAATGCTTCACTTTGAAGTTTAGTACATAGTAGTAGAAGTTTAGTACAATATTTCATTGCTGTATATCTCTGCCCAAAATTGCAAGAGATGAATGTTTCATGCCGGATGATGGGAGAAAGCTAGCATCCTGTGCATCATGTTTTAAAGCCCCAAATCATGTCGTCACAGCTGAGGTGACTGAGGGGCCTCTGGAGGTCATTAGCCCAACTTACTGCCATGCTGGATACGCATGCAGGTCACATCTGCTTGTCACATACTCACGTGGCAGCACAGATAGGGAATTCTGTCATTCCAGCCACAGCAGTGACTGTGGCGGGAGCAAATAAGGGAAACCCTCGTGCTTCTTAATTCCTCGTGCAGAGAAAATGGCATTTTTTTTTCTTTGCTGGAGAGCTCAGTGCTTATTTTCTGGCTTGGATTTTGCCATTTTTGTGGCGTGCTGAACAGACTATAAAAATAACCGAAGGGCAGCAAACCTGCGGAGCTGTCCGAGTGCTGCTGCGCCGGGGCTCGTGCCTCCTGAAACGGCTCCGCGGAGGCCGCAGCCCCGGCCCGTTCAGCGCGTCTGCAGCGTGGGCCTTTCCATTACACCCGCCGCGTACTCGCACAACCTTCTTTTTTAGTAAGCCGACCACTGTGTATTTCCTTAAGCCCAAGGGAGGCTGTAAGTGGCTGGCTGGCTCGGTCCCTGGTTATAAAATTGAGATGGAAATTAAATTTTAATTTTTAAATGTTTCTGCCCCATTTTTCACTGTGAAGTATCTAAAAAAGACCAGACAGGCAGCTGCTTTGCGCCGGTGCCGCACCGTGTGCCAGCACTGGTGGCGGCTGCTTTCCTGTCTGTATCCCAAGGATCCATGAAGCAGGTTCTTCTCTGAGCTGTGTTTACGTATTTGCTTTAATCCAGTTAAGTGTAATGAGGCTCTTAAAAAGGATGGTTCTCTCTGCCCCTGTTTACCCATTTCTCTATCTTCTCTTGCCCTAGCAGTTGTATTCTTGTGGCCTGCCTGGTCAGGGTCTCATTCTGGGGCCAGATAAGGGTAGTTTGGTTTAATTGGCTATGTTCTTTCGGTTTATTACAAACATCTAAAAGCGTTGGAATGATCAAAAGCTCAAAGGGGCGTTTGGTGGTGTTGGTTCTGGGCACTCTGTCTCACACGAATGTGGTCCCTCAGCGTTTTGCAGCTCGAAAGGTGAGCTGGAGCCCAGCAGGTGCTTGTCTGGAGGCGTTTGGGAGCGTGGCATTTCCTGATTCCCGTCTCTGCTCCCCTTTCCTGCCAGTGCTTCACTGATCACGTGCAGAAGGAGCTGGATCTGTTCCCCCCCGACAAGAGGAAAGACGTGGTCATCCTGTTCTCGGCGCACTCGCTGCCCATGTCGGTGAGTTCCGCGAGGCTGTTTCCGAGCCCGCTCGATCACGGTCCCGCTGGCCGAGCCGCTTCGAGGGCTGTGCAGCCTGCGCGCCGCCCCGGCGCATCCCGTGGCCTGTCCTTCCCTCCACGGGGCTCCTTTCCCAGGACGTTTGCAACGCGGGGCAGGCAGCACAAGCTCCCTGCAGCGGACTTCAGTGGCATTTTACTCCGTTTCGTTTTAGCCCGAGATTTAAAACTCTTTTTTGTGCCTTACTTTCCTCTGGGGTATAACATGGTTATGTAGTAAGTTCTGCTGATTTAATGGAGGGGCTGGAATAGCGGATTCCAGGGCAGCATGGGAGCCCTTCCTGCCGGAGCGCTCTAGGGGAGCCGGCCTGTGTCGGGAAGAAGGGGCCGGTGCAGGCGGATTCTGCGTCTCCGGGTGCCCGGGGGTCCCCGCTGGCCTCGCTCACAAGGCCCTGCTGCCACCTAGCGCCTGGCGCTGGCCCTCGGCATCGCTCCCGGTGCCCCGCGTGCGCCCGGCGCGCTCCGTCCCCAAGGAAGGTGTCCGAGGGCTGCTCCTCTGCGCTAGGTGGTGAACCGCGGCGATCCGTACCCTCAGGAAGTGGGAGCTACTGTGCAAGGCGTCATGGAGAGGCTCAACTACTCCAACCCCTACCGGCTCGTGTGGCAGTCCAAGGTGAGTGCTGGAGAGAGGCCCTGTGCCGCGGAGCTCTCCGGCTGCTGGAGTGCAGCCTTTTCCCCAGCTCTGTCATCATGTCAGAGCCTTCTTGCTGTACTCAGGAATAGGTCTGCTGTAATAGATCCCTGAGCTTTTGCTTGGCTTTTCCAGATACTCTTTTTCCACAGATTCTTGGCTTGTAGAAATATTTTGCATCATTTTGTGTCATTTGATGTGGCTGCTAGGAAATCTATGATCTCCTAATATTCAGCTAAGCATTTTTCTTTATCTGTCAGAAAGAAGAATCAAGTACCATGGGATTTCTGTGTTGCTTTTTGAGGATCTCTGAGCAATATTTTCAGAAGTCGTCACTAGAAATAGACGTTCTTAATAAGAACAGGTCTTATTATTCTTGGAGAAGAATGCTTCCATTACTTTGTTCCTATTACTACTGCAAACACCAAGGAACTTTGTTTCATCAGAGTTATGTAGTACAAGTAACTCCTCCCTCAAGGCGTTGTGCCTAACATGCCATGGTTGTTTTGTTCTGGAGTTGCATGTTACAGTATGTCAACACCAAATGCTTTAAGGATAGCAAAGCGATGAGAAGAGTTTCATGCATCCAGAAAAATGCTTACTACTTTAGAGACAGGTAAAACCTGTGCAGTAGCAATTAGGTTTTTATTAAACGGAAAGCAGCTTTCATTCATTTTTATACAAGAATCTCTTTAAAGCCAGCCCAGACACTTTGAGGGTGTATAGGTGGGAACTTAAATATGTCTTCATAAAAATATAACAGGTAAAGTAAGAGGTATTGTCAAAAAAAAAGACAGTTGTGCTTGTTATGAAAAATAATCTAGTCCATGTTGAACTGCTCAGGAAAATAAACGTGAAGAAAAAAAATTGAGAATGATCAATTCTCTTTCTCCCTTCCTTACAGGTTGGCCCAATGCCTTGGCTTGGCCCACAGACGGATGAAACCATTAAGGGACTGAGTAAAAGAGGAAAGAAGAACCTCTTGTTGGTCCCAATAGCCTTTACAAGTGATCACATTGAAACGCTTTATGAACTAGATATTGAGTATGCCCAAGTTTTAGCAAATGAGGTAAATATTTTTGTGTTACTCTTTGCTGTGAGATTTGGGACAAATTTTCTTTTTCTGGCAATTCAGAATTAATCTGAACTGGCTGCGCTCAAATGAGTTTTTATCAGCCTGAAAAAGGTGGGAATTTGTCTTATATTGAGCTATTTAAGCCACTGCTATCCTCTGTAAAAGGACTGGATATTTGTCAGCAAGGTGAATTTTTGCCTTTAGTCCTTTATTTCTGTTGAAAAACAAGATAGTGAATTTAATTCAGTCATTTTGGGGCCAAATCTGAATAAAACAGAAGAGAGGATTTTGAAAGATAGCTAGTGCAGTTTCTAACAGACTTAACCTTCATCTTCTTTCTTGTGTTTGATTCAGTGTGGAGTCGAAAACATCAGAAGAGCAGAGTCTCTTAATGGAAATCCACTGTTCTCCAAGGTATCTTGTTTGGTGTGATAATTGTAGAAGTTATAAAATGTGTTTCCTACTAGATTACGGGTGTCTTTAAATTGTTTTATAGTATTATAGGTTTAAGAACAAGAATAGAAATCCTTGTGTTTAATATGTAAACTGCAAATTTTTCCTTAACTGCAATTTTTAAAAGTCTAGTTCAGAAGTTTGATTTGGCAAAAGAAAAAAAAATCTATTCATTTGTGGCCATCTGTTAACAAAATATTTATTTTAAGATATGATGCCAATGCAGTTCTGAAACTGGATCTTTCACTGAAATGCGTGGAGACAGTGCTTAAAAAGCAGAGTGCAGTCTGACGCGTGCACAATTTGGCAATCCCACTGGTCACTAACATACATTAATGCATTTTTTGATTTTATGCAAGTAGATTTGCTCACTTCCAATTTTTAATGAACTGTCTTTCAGGCTCTGGCGGACTTGGTGTGTTCACACATCCAGTCAAATGAGATCTGCTCGAAGCAGCTAACCCTGTGCTGCCCGCTGTGTGTGAACCCCGTGTGCAGGAAGACCAAAGCCTTCTTCACCAGCCAGCAGCTGTGACGGGCACCCAGGAGGGATCTGCTGTGGAGCACGCGGGGAGGCTGCCCCAGGGCTGCTACGGAGCGAGGGAGCTCCTCGACCCACCTCTGCTCTCCTACGTGCTTAGAGCGGTGGGCTCACTGATGCCAACCTGATTTAACAGGGAGGAAAACTTGACTTGTTTTTTTTTTTTTCCCCTCTTATGGTTTGTTTGTTTGAGAGTGTTTGTAGAAAGTAGAGAAATAAGGGCCTGATCCTGTGAGATGTGAAGAGACCTCATCTTGTCTAATGCTGATGGGACTTAGCATGAGCCCAGTGTGCACTGAAAAAACTCACAAAGCTTTTTATATAAATTAGCTTCTATCTACTTTTCAGGGAAATTGGCTTCTGTCTACTTTGCAGGGATTTCTTTGTGCGCAGTTTCATCAGGGTTGCATTAATTTCAGCTTTCCAGGCCAAGTGTACAATTACTTTGTTTATGCTTAGGGGACACCGGAGTCACCAGTTGTCTCTTCTGAGAGTGATCTTTTCAGATGGACTTTGAAGATCAAGTGACTTCTAATGCTTTCTAAAATAACACGTATGTATTTTTAGAGCTTAAGGATAACATTTTGTTTTGTTTTCTGCCAGAGGCTTCCTATGAAAGCTTAGCTAGGATAGTAGAAATGGCATGGTTTGTTTACTCTTTCTAGAAAAATATTATCTTCAGGAAGGCCCTGTGTTTGGAGAGCATAAAATGAAAGAAAGAATCTTGCTTGGGGAGCATGCTCGGTTGAAATGGATAATCTGTGTTTCAGATATAGCCATCAACAGCACATGTTGGAGCATGTTCGCTCATCTTTTAAGCTAAATAGTTTTTTTAATATTAGAAAGGGCTTTATCTAGCTACGCGAACTTGGGAAGCCAGGCGTGCTCTGCAGAACGTGTATAGATTTGCTGTTTGCTGCTGTGTCACGACGCTGTGGTTTTTGTGGGATACCTGCGGAGCGGCGTAGGTAGAATAGATGTAACTTAATTCATGTTGTCATTTACAGCTGAGATGATGAACTGGCAGTAAATTACATTGTAGGTGCCTGAGAGCAGGCTGCCCCTCGTGTTGGAAGCTGTTTATGCTTTTGCATCCTGTGCTCTGGAATGGAAATCTGGGAGATTCCTGACACTTACAGGGAGCCTGGAGCCCATAACCCATTTAAATTGCTTTTTTTGTTGTGTTGTTTTTGTTTTGCAAGCAAACAAGTGCTAAATCCCCTGCCAGGTTTCACAGAATGGAACAGCCTTTCCAGGGCCGTGCTGGCAGCGCCAGGCCGGATGTGGCGGTTGGGACACGGAGGAGCCGGTTTCGCAGGGCGGTCGCCGCGGAGCGTTTGTGACTTGAAGCCGTGGTGCACCTCAGGGACTGCCCCTTCCGACGGAGGAGCAGAGCTGTGACCCGTGCCGAGGCCCCGAGCGTCGCGCGCGTCGCCTCGCGGGGTCCGTGTTTACACTGTGTACTTAGCACTGAAACGCCCGGCCCGTGGCGACGCAGGCTCTTCGCAGACACGACTTGCCCTAAATTGGTGAACCAGGTAATCGTAAGATTTCAAGAAGCAGAGGTCACGCTGCTCAGACAGTCTTACCTGCTTATGTAATTAGGAAGTCTGAACAGCTTGAACCTCTGCTCTTTTAATGGCAGGGTTGTTTAAAAAGAAAACAGGCCCCTGTTACTGCGACAGGGGCTCGCTAACAGTAGGCAAATGATTCTTTTGTTCTAAATCATATTAAAGGAACGTAACCTGGGATAATGAATCGGTGGGTGCTGTGTTGGTCATCCAGGGGGCCAGATAGTCCATGGAGCGATGCGGGTTGTAACCTGCTGCCTCTGTGGGACCCATGGCCTGGTACGTCTTGGGGGTTGACCGAAGTGTCCATGTCGCGTCCTGCAGCTTCCGAGCACGGCTGTGGTGAGACGGGCCCGAACCCCCCTCCGGTACTGCTGTCCATGCTGCTCTAGCAGAAATGAGTCTTCCTTGAGCCGTGTGTCTGTGCCTGTGCTCAGCACCAGGGAGCCCAGACGTGGGGTGGATCTGCGGGAGCCGGGGATGGGACGGTGCTGCCCGGCCTGGGCTTTGCTTCCAGCCCTCGGGGCGGCCCGAGCGCCCTCCAGCTGCCGGAGCTTGGTGGCTCTCGAGCAGCACGAGAATCTGCAGGGCAATGTTCCCTCTTTTGAGGACGCGAGTAACTGAGCTTGTGAATGCATGTGCTGAGCAGGGCCTGGAGCACGATGGCGAGATATTATGTAGCCAAAACAGCCTCCCTCCAGGAGCTTCAGTTGCCTTTCAATCTTTGGCTTCCAGCTGGAGCCTGCTCTCCCGCAGATCTCGGCGTGGAGGGGATCGGGGTCTCTGCTCTGCGCTTAAGGGTCAGTAGCAAACAGACTTTTCTGTAAAATACGCCTACTAACATCTCTCTTTTTTGTAACTTGAAGAGTGTATTGACCTTGAAATGCAGGTTGTGACCAGCTCATTTAGAAGTCTGGCTGAAGCTGGAAAAGGAAGGTTAATTTTATATGAACATTGTGATGCCATTAATATGGATTGGCTTTTTATTTCTGTCCTGGAGATAGGAGGGGAACTGTCAGCTGGCATTAGTTATGAGGCATTACGTTTGTCCTTAGTAATAGAAGGTATTTAAAATTCACTTTTAAAGTATGCTAACCACAAGTGAGGTAATTACAAGGCCCGCTTAGGCTGTTGTTACTGTTAGACCATAATGTAGAAATCACTTAATTTTCCAGCTCTTAGCAGATGGCTCACGTCTCATCGAGGTGGTGGGGTTTTCATTTTGCTGAGCAGTGTATGATATCACTCTGTCCGCCAAGCAACAAAATGTAATTTAGTCTCAATTCACCAACAAAAAGCCTGTTGAAAAATGACCCTAGCAAGTGACCTAGCTGCTCCACTGCTTATTGATAGAAACCTGTTTTTCTTCTTTTGCACTTAAAAATTAAATCAAAAAATCAGAGACACTGATAACAATGAGAATTCTGTTGCCATTGAAATCTGGTGATCGTGGGTTTTCTGCTTGGGAGCCCTGATGGCTGTGCTAACACACACCGAAATTCATTTGTCCTTATTTTAGCCGCTCACAATGCGGCAGTCAGTGTCTGAGCTCGTCTCCTAGGTCCTGCTTGTAGCCAAAGAGCAGCTTTTCCCGAGCAGCCCTGAGGACGGGTTGGTTTCCCCTTGAGGAGGGCGCCCGCGGCCACGGGGAGCCACTGCTGCCCCTGGGACGTGGTCGCTGCCCTGCACGGTCTGCAGAGAGGAGCCCTGACCCCCGGGTTTTGCAGCGTTTGTTCGGTGCCTTCCGCTCTGCCAGTGCTTTGTAGCTGCTCCACAAGGGACGCTCCCGTCTTGCTTAACTCTGCCTTGGTGCATTTGCTTTGCGCCTGGGGCAGGTTTAAAACGTTTGGTGCTACTGACCCGGGACCCAGTCCTGTCACATCCTGACCGCGTTCTGCGCCGACCGAATTGGTTTGGAAAGGTGAAGGTGCCAGCATCCGCGAGGCTCGCGTCCTTGGGCAATAATCCCAGTTTGATTTTTGTTGCTGTCACCTCTACCCGTTTCACCGTGCTCTGTCTCCTTTGCAAGTGCTTTTCATTGACATTGGCCTTGACGACAAGCCTTGGCGAGGGCAGGGGCTCGGGCGACCCGCGCGCGTGGGGCTTCTGCCCTCGGAGCCGTCCCAGAGCGACGCTCCCAGGGCTCCAGCCTGGGGAAGTCGCCTCAAAATAGAGGAATTCGGAAACAGAAACCTCCATGTCCTAAGGAAAGCAGCGGGAAATAAAAGTGTTTGCAAGTGGGACATTTGGAAGAATTTGCTTTAACTCTCTGCATTTTTGCCTTTTCTGTGGTTGATGACGTTTTCCTCTCTTGGAGTTTGATGAAATCTCCTTACTTGGCTGCATTTTAGAAAATGTGATAGCTTCCAAAAGTGGTGCTGCAATGGTGCAGGTGTGGGGATAGTATCCGTGGGCTGAGATCCTGGTCCGCCTCTTTGTAAGCAGATCTTACGGAGGGACCAGGATTTTCCTGACAGTACCTAAAAGCTCACATTTATTCTCTTTCTGCCACAACTAGAGACCGGGAAATTAATATGGAATGTAAGATGCAAAAGAGAGAAAAGTTCCTTTTATTTTTTTAATACCAGATGTGTACAACTACTTGCTTTTGGTCCAAGATAAAAATTGCGGATTGAACATGAACTTCCATTAAGCGTAATGAAATTTGTATAACCTTCCTATGTATCATTTGCCATAAAGATGGATTTCGATTAAAATTTTTTTGAAAGAAGTGATGAGGTGTGTGTGTGAGTGCGCAGGCCCTTCGCAGGGCTGCTCCCCGGGCCCTCGCTCCGTTCAGCTGGACCGCGGCTCGGTTCGGTTCGGTGGTGGCTTTGGGGCACGTTTGCCCTTGCGCAGGGTGGGTTGGCCTCTGTGCCTCGAGAGGGGCCAGCGCGGGGCCATGAAGATGATGGAGGGACTGGAGCAGCCATCGTGTGAGGAGGGACTGAGCCTGGTCAGCCTGGAGAAGAGAAGAGCGAGGGGGGATCTGATCAACGTGGACAAGCACCCGAGGGGAGGATGGAGGGAGGATGGGGCCAGGCTCTTCTCCGTGTTGGCCGGTGACAGGACAAGGGGCAGCGGGTACAAGCTGAACCCCAGGCAGCTCCATGTCCATGTGAGGAAGAACTTCTTTGCTGTGGGGGTGCCCGAGCCCTGGCACAGGCTGCCCAGAGAGGCTGTGGAGGCTCCTGCCCTGGAGATCTCCAACCCGCCTGGATGGACCCTGTGCCCCTGCTCTGGGTGTCCCTGCTGGAGCAGGGGCTGGACTGGGTGATCCCTGGAGGTGCCTTCCAACCTCAACCATTCTGGGATTGTGTGAATTTTGGAATGGGACCTATTCTGTCATCACTCGTGCTGGAAACTGTTTATAATGGAGTGCTGGCATGCGTGCTCTGCACCGGAAGCCTGGAGTTGCATTTTATTGGC